GGGGGGGGGGGGGGGGGGGGTCGCTTTTCCAATGGATTGACATACAAAAGACACAAAAGACACAAAACATTCGTATTCTTCAACAATTTTGAATAAATGAATGATATTTGGTGAGAAAATTAAACTTAAAGGGATCGATATGGCAATATAAATTAAGTTTGTCTTATTTGAAAGAACATTTAAAATGATATATAAACTTCCTTTACAATTATTCCGTATGTTGCTTGGTTTTCGAAGTAAATCGACTTATTTTGATCAAAAGCAGCGTGCATTCCGCCATCTTGGATATGCAATCGATATGCATACGTCACAAGTAGGGTAAGAAGCGAAATTTTTATCTTGCAAACCACTTGTCATTATCAATATGAAACTCGATTTTCCGAAGTCTGTTTAGTACTCAATTAACTCACAACATTTTAATTAAGAAACTTTTCGAAGAAATTCAGTCCCACATAAAGAAGTTTTAACAAGTTTACCCTGCTTGTGACGTCATCAAAAACTCAGTTAATTAGGTCAATTATAATACCAAGATGGTGGACTGTATACTGTTTTTGGTCAAAATATTTCGAAAACCAAGCAAGGTACGAAAAAGTTGTAAAGGGTCTTCATATATAACTTTAAAAGTTCTTTCAAATAAGACAAAGTTAATTTATATTGCCATATCCTTTTAAAGTTTATGTAAATCAGCATGATTTCTGTATCTACCTGCGAACAGGCTCTCAAGGTGAAATGAGAGCCTGCACTGATGATATACAATTTTGAATATCTGCCCCGTAACGTTCGTTTTTCCAAACATGGAATGTCTGTCCTTATATGGTGTTGTTTACAACTTTCGTGCAAACTAAATTTAGACCGTGCAAACTAAATTTAGTCCGTACAGTTTATACTGTTTTTCGAAATATTATAAGATATTCAAGCAAAAGTTTAAATGTTTTAAATACTGTTTTCTCAAAGCAGAACATTTCGTGCTTTGAGATAAGATGGCCAAGACCAATTTGAT